CACCCTCCCTTCCTTCCTTGTCTTTCTTTCAGCCATATTATAAACAGTTTCTATTTATGAGAGGTAGAACTAGGTATATCAAAGAACCAATTTTATAGATGAAGAAACAGGCTCAAAGCTAAGAAGTGACTTGGGTAAAATCACTACTCTCTGGTGAAAGGGAACACAGCGAGATCCTACCATTTCAGCACATCTCAAAAACACCGGTTCTGGTAAGTCATGTGTTTTCAAACCTCTGCCCAGCTCTGAGCCTAGTGCATACATCAGGCCTCATAAGTGTTCACTGATTGAACAAGGCTGTCCCCCAGGCTTTCTGACCCTCAGGCCACCACCCACCACCTCCCACCATTGCCTGGCTCATTTCATTTCTGCTCTCTCAAGTATGCTTATGGCCACAAAATGCCCTACAAATTTGATTTCTGCATTGCCATAGGATTATATCAAAGGCAATACCTTTTTATTTTTAAAAGGGAACTAATTGCTTTGAAAGGAACAAAATTAACAGTGAAAACGTGGTCATGATGCTGAGAGGACCATACTAATAAGCTACTTTGAAGTAAAAATTTAAAGTAATCATGTAGGTATAAAGGACAATATGTTTCTACTGAAGCACTGTCTTTCGAAATGTAGGTGACAGCTAAAGCCATAAAGTTATCTAAATCATAGAGACTCGATGAGTTTTGTGTTTCTTTTTGTGGATTTTGTTGTTTTATTGAGTCAACCTTGCTAACTCCCCAGCAGCTGGCATTCAGGCACAGCACGCCCTAGTAGCCCTCATTCGAAGAAAAACATATCTCAAACCAACCAAAAAAATAAGTCCATTTTCCTTCTAAAACTCAGCCTTCTTTAGGGCCAGTTCCAACAACATTTCTAGAAATGTAAGGAAAGTGCCTTTGTATAAAATAACAGATGGCTGCATTTAAGAACCACTAAAGTCTCAGGATTTCACCGTGGATGCTGCTCAAAGCCTGTGGGCAGAGGTCACCTCCCAGCATATTTGTGAAATAACAGACCAAGTTTATCTTCATACTGTCAGGCTCCTGAGCCCGCCATGTCTAGGGGACACTTAGCTGCTTTGATTTTTAAATTACATCATCTAATTCTTTACAAGTAATGTTTAAAATTGTTTTCTAAAAGTGGGATATCTACAGTAAGACTTACGTTAGGCCTAAAAAACAGAAAGTCAGGGCCATGTGATATTTGTGAACACCACTGGGATAGCCCACAAAATTAGCTAGGGCTAATGTTGTTGCTGTGATCAAATTTGTGATTTTTGTTATGCAGAGCAAAAGGTAAATATGATCCTATATAATAAAGAGGTAATATGCAAATTGACCATCACACCCTCACACAAGATGGTCACCCCCATGTGGTCACAAGATAACCACCACAAGAGGGCCAGCAGGGGAGGGCAGTTGTGGGCTATCAGGCCAGCAGGGGAGGACAGTTCGGGGGGGGACCAGGCCTGCAGGGGAGTGCAGTTGGGGGCGATCGGGCCAGCAGGGGGAGCTGTTAGGCATCAATCAAGCTGGCAGGGGAGCCGGGCCAGCAGAGGAGGGCAGTTAGGGGCGACCAGGCCAGCAGGGGAGGGCAGTTAGGGGTGACCAGGCCTGTAGGGGAGGGCAGTTAGGGGCAATCGGGCCAGCAGGGGAGTAGTTAGGCATCGATCAGGCTGGCAAGCAGAAGAGGTTAGGGGCAAGCAGGCAGGCAGGCAGTTGGGAGCCAGCGGTCCCAGATTGTGAGAGGGATGTCTGACTGCCGGCAGTTGGACATCCCCCGAGGGGTCCCAGATTGGAGAGGGTGCAGACTGGGCTTAGGGACATTCCCTCCCCCACCCCCACCCCCCGCCAGTGCATGAATTTCATGCACCAGGCCTCTAGTAAATTATAAAGCTCTCATTATCAGCAAGGGGGAGGCACAACCTGTCCCTCAAGAATGGCAGCATCTCCTGGCTCTGCATTTTCAAAAATGATTTACAACTGGCTTTCAGTAGGAGTCCTTTGGCCGACATGATGGTCAGTGTTTTCTTACACCTGATAAAAGCCCTGTCAAAACTTCACAAAGCAGTGCAGTTGGACAGAAAGAGCACTAGTCATCAAGGTATGAACTGTGGGCCATGAGCAGCTAATTGCCTCTAAGGCATCTGCCTATTGGTCTTAGTTTCATCCTTTATATAATGAATGGGTATACGGTGTCTCCCCTTAGTATGATCAGAAAACTTCCATCCATTGAGCCCTTCTGTATGCCCACCACTGGGCTACATACTATAAACACCGCACCTCTAAGACTCACAACGACCTGGTCAGGTGGTTTTATTACACCCATTGTAGAGGTGAGGGAAGGAAGTTCAGAGAATTGAAGCTAAGACTCACAACGACCTGGTCAGGTGGTTTTATTACACCCATTGTAGAGGTGAGGGAAAGGAAGTTCAGAGAATTGAAGCTAAGACTCACAACGACCTGGTCAGGTGGTTTTATTACACCCATTGTAGAGGTGAGGGAAAGGAAGTTCAGAGAATTGAAGCTACTTGCCCAAAGTCTCCCAAGACCCGGCAGGTGCACAACCTGAGACCCAGCCCATCTGCCTAGGCCTGGCCCCTTTCCTTCTGCTCTAAGTGGGCTCAGTCCAGGGAGCGAATCCTTTCACCTACTCCATGCTTTTCCCACCAGGAGGTGTGGTCGAAGCATACCCCCCTGTGGACAGTGTCACCAACCTGACGGTGGACATGCTCATAGAGCCCAACGGAGAAATCAGTGTGCTGTCCACGGGGGACCAGTTGCATGCAGAGGGCCCCTTCATCTCCTCCGGTACCACCATGCCTCAGGCCTCAGTGAATTCCCAAGTTCTCATTTCTCTGTGCCTCCAAATTGGAAAAGCTTGTAAACTGAGAAATGTGGTCGGTTACTTTTCTATAGACCTGGTGACCTTTATTGACCCAAGCACCATGGAACAGCAGGTAAGTCGACTTGATGCCACATGAACTTCTAAAATATGTAGACTCCACACGGTTTACACCCATGCAACTGGGCATGGAAGGGAGCTTCTAAGATTCACTGCTCACCGGCTGAGCTGACTGTAATTCAGCACCCACATGGTCTGTGTCAATCCATGTGAGACAGGGCTTTCTGTCTGGAAATACAGGGTCTTCTCATTTGGGTACAGTTGGAGTCTAAATGACCACAGCCCATGCCACATAGCTCTGTTGATTGGGCCGTAATTCTCTGTGTCTTATCATGAGTTTATTTTATGCCATCTAGGGATTGAACCTGTCTAGAATCTATTTTTAAATAGAATGTCAATCATCAGAAAGGAGTTGAGTCCTTGTGTCTGTTCCTTTTCTTAGTAATTCACCAGAAAGTTGGGTTGTCAATTTTTTCTCCTAAAAAATGTGTTGGAAAATATTTTATAAATATAAAAAGGTTTAAATAATAATATAATTAATAGTATGTGTCCAGACCCAGCTTAAGAAATAAAATGGTGCCAATACCACTCCAGTCCTATGTACTCCTTGCCAGTCCTCCTCGTGTGGCCCTTCCTCCTCCCAGAGGTGGCCACTGTCTCACATTTAGGACTTTAATTTCTTTCAACATCCTTATGCTTTTGCTGCACATTGATTACCAATATATAGTATACAGTTGCACAACTTTTTATAGTTCAGAACATCCTATATGTTGTTATTCTACAACATGCTTTTCTATATTCAATATTTCATCTGGAAGATGGTCATGTGGACATGTGTAGCTCTGATGTATGACATTCTTGATAACAATGTCTAAATTCACTACTATTTCACAGGATTTGTTTTTAAATGTTCAGTTCCTCCTCGGTTAGTGATGGGTGACCAGACCTCTGTCTAAAGGATGAAAAGGCCTCCTGCCCTCCCTCTCCCGAGATCCTCTGGCCATCCAACGTTGTAAATGCACTGTAGTTGTTTTCTATTCATTATTCTCAGGTTCATGATTATCCGTTTCAGTCCGATGATGGTTTCAAAGTGCGAGTTTATGTTTGGGCAGTTTTTGGCTTGTCCAATAATCATTTTCCATGTGCCTTCCTAAGCCCTCCATTGGTTTTACACTCCTTTCTCAGGTCCACACCTTGAGAGAGTAAAGGACAACTAAAGGGCATTCAGAAATAATCTACCCTGGGAGGAGGGAGCAAAGAAACAGTGTCTCTGGTGGAAGAGTTGAGTGGCAGGGAAGTAGGGGGGGGTTGCTGGGGGGAGGGAGCAAGGGATGCTACCCTCCCCTAATGTTTGTATTGAGAAACAAGGATTAAACCTGCCATCTTTGGGGCAGGAGGGAGGTTGGAACTATGGGGCTAGTTAACTTGTGGTTTTTATTTATTTGCATTTGGTACAGGGAGAATTGCATATGGCAGTGAGCACGTCCTGTCCCTGGGTGACCCACCCTTCTGTGGTTCTGGGATAACGATTCCACCCTTCACTTGACTGGTCCCATGTGCCCATCTTTCCTCACAATTACTCCCTCTTTATTTCTCTCTTTAAAAAAAAAATATTTTATTTATTTTTTTACAGAGAGGAAGAGAGAGGGATAGAGAGTTAGAAACATCCATCAGCTGCCTCCTGCACACCCCCTACTGGGGATGTGCCCGCAACCAAGGTACATGCCCTTGACCGGAATCAAACCTGGGACCCTTGAGTCCGCAGGCCGATGCTCTATCCACTGAGCCAAACTGTTTAGGGCTATTTCTCTCTTTTTTCAACCACATCAGCCTCTCTCTGCTCCCCTTAGTCATCATACCACCTTCTGCCTCAAGGCCTTTACACGTGCTGCCCCTCCACCTGAATGCTCTTGCCTTTTCTTCTTTACCTAGTTAACCCCCCTTCCCATTCATTATATTTCAGCGCAAGCCATGCTTTCTTAGGGGAGTCTTCCCTGACAAAGCCAAACTCGCCTGATTTAGGTTCTCACATCATCATGTACCTCTCCTTCACACTACTTACCATAGTTACAATTTTAAACGTGTTTCCGTGATGATCTGATTAAAGCTGTCTCCTCCTGTGGAACATGAGCTCTCTGAGGAGATGTACTGTGTCTCTTTTAACTCCCTACTCAATTCTCAGCACAATCTCTGCCCGGAAACAAAGTGGGCGTCCAGTAAATATGAAAATGAATGAATTAATGAACAATTTAGAGGGTACTCTAGCAGATGCTGGATGGTGGTGCCAAGGCTTTTAGAGAAAGAGCTCAGACATCAGTTGATGGATGGGACAGATAAATATTAGCCCAGGGTTCTCGGGTTTTATCGCACTATGATTTCTCATCACTTCCTGTTAATACTTGAGTATACGGCCATTTGGGTTACAATTTTCAATAGGACAGTGGAGGAAGTTCTCAGGAAGTAGTATATCAAGGGTGTTTCTACATTGGCGAGGGAAGTAGGTTAGCTCTCGGTGTAGTATATGTAATTGGCAGGCATTGTGGTGCCAATGAAGAGACTGGCATGCTATCAACCTCTTCTTTTTTGCCAGTCTAACAGGGGGAAAATGTCATCTTGTTTTCCTCAGTATTTCTTTGATTATTATTGATAATGAACACCTTTTCATATGTCTGTTGGCCATTTATATATATTGTCTTAATTGCCTTATCATATATTTTGCTCCTTTTAAATTGAACTATAATATAAATGCTGATTTGTACAAGTTCTTTATATATAAGGAACTATTACCCTTTGATGGTTGTACATACTGCAAATATCTTCTCCCACATTGTCATCTGTGGCTTTTCTCTCTCTCTCTCTTTTTTTAGCCATGTTTCGCCACCATAAAAATCATAATTCTTCCTTTGTGATTTATTGATTTTGTAACTTTTGCTTTTGTAATTGGCTACTTTACAAAGTAATATTTGTGGAAAGGTATTCCAAGAGTACACCATTATCTTATTCCTCATCAAATTGCCACCCGTGAAAATTAGCACCCATTGCCAACTTTCTCCTGAGTCAGCCACCACTATGATGGTGGCAATTTACTTTTAAAAAAATTTTATTGAATTTATTGGGGTGACATTGCTTAATAAAAGAACAAAGGTTTCAAGTGTATAACACATCATCTGTATATTGTATTGTGTGTTAACCACCCCAAGTCAAGTCTCCTTCCATCACCACTTATCCCCCCTTTACACTCTTCTACCTCCCCCCTCCTTTCCCTCTGGTAATCACCATACTGTTGCCTGTGTCTATGAGGGTGTGGTGTTTTGTTTTGTTTTTTTGGTTTTGTTGTTGTTGGGTTTTTTGTTTTTCTTTTTGCTTAATCCCTTCACTGTTTTAACTCATCTCCCCAACCCCTCTCCCCTCTGACAGCTGTCAGTCTGTTCTCTGTTCCTCTGGGTCTATTTCTATTTTGTTTGTTAGTTTATATTGTTCATTAGATTCTGCATATAAGTGAAACCATATGGTATTTGCCTTTCTCTTCCTGGTTTATTTCACTTAGTGTAATATTCTCCAGGTCCATCCATGCTGTTGCAAAAAGGCAAAATTTCCTTTTTTATGGCTGAGTTGTATTCCATGGTATAAATGCACCACAGCTTTTTTTCTCTACTCATCTACTGATGGGCACTTGGGCTGCTTCCAAATCTTGGCTATTGTAAATAATGCTGCAATGAATGTAGGGGTGCATATATTCTTTCAAAGTAGTGTTTTGGGTTTCTTCAGATAAATCCCCAGAAGTAGAATAGCTGGGTCATAAGGCAGTTCCATTTTTAACTTTTTGAGGTGACTCCACACTGCTTTCCACAGTGGGTGCACCAGTCGGCAGTCCCACCAACAGTGCACAAAGGTTCCTTTCTCCCACATTCTTGCCCACTTTTTCCTACTGCATAAATCCAAGCAACTGGTACATATTGAACCTTTTAGAAAAGACACTTTAGTCATATAAGTTGAAAAAATGTCATAATAAGTGACATAATAAGTATAAATCCCAGAGTGACATTAAACAACTTTTTGTAGGTCACTTGGCCATCTGTATGTCCTCTTTGGAGAAGTGTCTATTCAGGTCCTTTGCCCATTACTTAATTGGATTGTTTGGGGGATTTGGTGTCGAGTTGTATAAGTTCTTCATAAATTTTGGATATTAACCCATTATCAGATGTATCATTGGTGAATATGTTCTCCTATTCAGTGGGTTGTCTTTTCGTTTTGTTGATGGTTTCCTTTGCTGTGCAACAACTTTTTAGTTTGATGTAGTCCCACTGTAACTTTTCATTTCCATACTTCGTTCTACATTTATTCATTGGCAATTTACTGCGCGGAAGAGCTTTTTCTTCTCCATCTTTCATTTATGTATGTGTACATGTGTGTATGTAAGCATGCATGGATTGTGTATATGTGTATACGTGTATGTATTTATAACAGTTGGAACTCATGAGTTTCTACTCTTTTTAGGCAACCGCATTATGTACTTTCATCATTTTGAGATTCAAACTGTCCCAGATTTGGCTAGTGGGAGACCCTTCTGGGTGGCTCTTGTGTTCCTTTGGTGTGTTCCCATTATTCTTTGAGCACTGTCTTACTTTCTAACACAATGAGATGTTTTAGGTGTATCTTCCACTTCCCCTGACCCAGACCCAGGGTCAGCCTAAGAGCCTTGGGTCCTTCTAGGGAAGACAGTATTAAGATCTGAGCTCTCAGCGCTCTCATTGCTTCTGGAGTGTCATTGCTTCCCGTCTCTTTCAATAGACAGAGTAAGAAATAGATAATATATGCGCAATACACACACAGACATAGATATATTATGCTTCTACGACTATTTCTATATCTATCAATGTATATATTTTTCTATTTATTTAATTCTTTGCTTTTATTATTCTAGTTGTCACCTAATGTCATCGCTTTAAAATTGTGCTGATCTCAATTTGACAAG